AAGAAGAAGAAGAAGAAGAAGAAGAAGAAGAAGAAGAAGAAGAAGAAACCCAGTTCAAAGGCCCAGAAAATATTTTCAACAAAATAACAAATGAAAATTTTCCTAACCTAAAGAAGGACATGCCTTATAAAGATACAAGAAGCTTATAGAATACCAAATGAATTGGATGAATCATAAAAGGAAGTTCCCTCATCATATAATAATCAAAACACTTACCATACAAAACAAAGAAGGAATAATAAAAGCTGCAAAGGAAAAAGGCTAAGTAATATACAAAGGCAGACCTATTAGAATTACACTCAACTTCTCAATGGAGACTCCAACAGCCAAAAAGGCATGGACATATGTCCTGTAGACTCTAACAGACCACAGACGCTAGCCCAGACTACTATATCCAGCAAAACTTTCAATCACCATAGATGGAGAAAACAAGATATTCCACAACAAAACCAAATTTAATCAGTATCTTTCCACCAATACAGCCCTACATAAGATGCTTGAAGAAAAATTCCAACTGAAAAAGGTTAACTCCAGCCGTGAAAACACAGGAAATAATCTCACACCAACAAAACTAAAAGAAGAAGAAGAAGAAGAAGAAGAAGAAGAAGAAGAAGAAGAAGAAGAAGAAGAAGAAGAAGAAGAAGAAGAGAAACACACACATGCACACTATCACCACTATTACCACCAGCAGCAACAGCAGCAGCAGCAGCAGCAGCAACAAAATAACAGGAATTAGCTGTCATTTGTCATTGATAACACTCAGTATCAATGAACTAAATTCCTCAATACAATGATACAGACTAACATAATGGATGTGAAAATTGGATCCACCCTTCTAATACACATAACAAAACACCCCAGTATCAAAGATAAACATTACTTCATAGTAAAGAGTTGAGAAACATTTTACAAGAAAATACACCTAAGAAACAAGCTGATGTAGTCTCAAAAGATACAAGAAAGTTGAAACAATCTCTCCATCATTTCAAAGCTGAACTTCAACAAGAACAGAAACAACAGAAGCCTACAAATTCATGGAAAGTGAACAACTCTGTACTGAATAGCAACTGGATCAGGACAGAAAGAGAAAAAAGAAAGAAAGAGAGAAAGAAAGAAAGAAAGAAAGAAAGAAAGAAAGAAAGAAAGAAAGAAAGAAAGAAAGAAAGAAAGGAAGAAAGGAAGGAAGAAAGAAAGAACAGATGGACAGACGGACAGACAGAGAAAGAGAGGGAGGGGGAGAGAGAAAGAAAGAAAGAAAGAAAGAAAGAGAGAGAGAGAGAGAGAGAGAGAGAGAGAAAGAAAGAAAGAAAGAAAGAAAGAAAGAAGGAAAGAGAAAAGAAAAGGACTTCATAGAATTCAATGAGAATGAATGCACAACTTACTAAAGCTTATGGGACACAATGCTTTCATAGCAGTACTAAGAGGAAAGTTCATAGCATTAAGTACCTTCATAAAGAAACTAGAGAGTCGTGAATGTTTCTGCTTGACGTGGTCTGTGTGCCGCTCCTGCATGCAGGGAGCTCAGGCAAGCTCAGAAGTCCCGACATGGGTAGAATGACCTATGATGATGTGCATGAGAACTTCACTCAGGAAGAGTGGGCTTTGCTGGATCCTTCTCAGAAGAATCTCCACAAAGAAGTGATACTGGAGATCTATAGGAATCTTGTTGCTATAGGCTACATTTGGGAAGACCATAATATTGAAGAACATTTTCAAAGTTCTGGAAGACTTGAAAGGCATAAAAGAAGTCATACTGAAGAGAAACCCTCTGAGTTTATTCAACGTGGTAAAGCCTTTGCATCTCAGAGTTATAACCAAAGACAAGAAAGAATTCATACCAAAGAGTAACTTTATCAAGGTATCCAACATTGTGAAGCCTTTGCATATCACAGTAGCCTCAAAATACATAAAACAACACTTACTGGAGCTAAATCCTATGAGTGTAACCAATGTGGTAAAGACTGTATCTCACAGTTCTCTTCAAAGGCATAAAAAAGTTCATAAAGGAGAGAAACCTTATGAATGTAATCAGTGCGTAAAGACTTTGCATGTCAAGGTAGACTACAAAAGCATAAACAAATACATACAGGAGAGAAACCTCATAAGTGTAATCAAAGTGGGAAAGTCCTTGGATGTCAAAGTGTACTATGGTATCATAGAAGAACACATACAGAAGAAAATCTTATGAATGTAATCAATGTGGCAAAACCTTTGTATATCACAGTTATCTTCAAAAACATAAAAGAACACATACTGGAGAGAAACCCCTCGAATGTAACCAATGTGATAAAGCTTTCACAGGAAATAGTCACCTCCTAAGACATAAAAGAATAAATACTGATGAGAATCCCCATGAGTGTAACCAATGTGGTAAAGATTTTGCATGCCACAATTCTCTTCAAAAGTTCACCACAGGAGAGAAATCTTACAAATGTAATCATTGTGGTAAAGGCTTTGCATGTCAAAGTGGTCTCCTGTATCATAAAAGAACACATACTTGAAAGAGAGCATATGAATGTAGTGAATGGACAGGTAAAGCCTTCATACATCACAGTCATTTTCAAATACATAAAAGAACACATACTGGAGAGAAGCCCTTTGAATGTGACCAATGTGGTAAAGACTTTTCATGAAACAGTCATCTCCTAACACATAAAAGAATACATACTGGAGAAAAACCTTATGAATGAAAACAATATGGTAAACCTTTTGCATGTCATAGTAGTCTACAAAGGGAAAAAAAGAATACTTACTGGAAAGAAACCCTATTAATGTAATCAATGTGGCAAAGCCTTTTCATGTCAAACTGGTCTCTTGTATCATAAAAGAACACATACAGGAGACAAGCCCTGTGAATGTAATCAATGTGGTAAAGCCTTTCCAAATCATCATAGTCTCCAAATACATTAAAGATCACATACTGAGAAAGACTCTTTGAATGTAACCAATGTGGTAAAACCTTTGAGTGAAGTAGTCATCTCCTAAGACATAAAATAATGCAAACTGGTGAGAAACTATGAATGTAAGCCATGTGGAAAAGCATGTCAGTTGTATTCAAAAGCATGAAAGAAACCATATTGTAGAGAAACTTCTGTGAGTATATTTAAGACTGTGAGGCTTTTGCACATTTCTATAGTCTTCATCATCATGACAGAAATCCATACTGGAGTGAAACTATAAATGTATTTAATCTGGTTCATCTTTTCAAATTTCACAAGTTGTCATCATCATTAAAATATTCATACTGTAGTCTATGAATGTAAGCAATGTGGTAAAGCCTTTGTGTTATAGGGTCCTCTGAGATCCAACACAACTCAAACTCATGTAATGCAAAGGACTAGAATTTGTTGTAATGAAGCTGCTGATGATAGATCAGAGGCAGAGAACATACTTGGAAGCTGAACTGTGACACTCCCTGCACCCACCTCCCCACACTAAGCCAGCATGTCATAGGGTTTTAAGTTTAAAAACCAGAAACATCTGCACCAAGATACAGCTACATTTTCTGACCAATCAGGAATTAGGGATAGGAACTTTCCTTATGTATTTTTTTTTATGTCCGCTGATACAGAATGTGGGTGTTACAGTCTAACCAATCACACCATTAGTTCTTTTGTGGTTAAGAACCTATATTTTGTTTTATGAAAAAAAGATGAATAGCAGAAGAGATTTTTTGGGACATTCATTATGTTTTCAGGAACAAAAGGTGCATAACAGAAGCTGGTCCACTATTGGGAAGTCCCCAGCTATCCTAGGGCATACAAACTTGCATTTAGTTTCACCTTATGATTAAATAGAAGCTGATAACAAAAAGTCAATTCCTAGGACATGTTTCTTTTGTTTTTTCCCAAGATTTGCATATCACAGTCATTTTTGAATACTTAAAAAAATCATACTGGAGAGAAAACCCTACAAATGTCATCAATGTGATAAAGCCATTCCCAACGCAGTTATATACAGACACTAAAAGGAACACATTTGATAGGAATATTATGAATATGCAATTGGTAAATCATTTACATGTAGAAGTAGTCTGAAAAATCATAAGAAAAAGTGATACCACAAAGGAACCCATAGTTGTAGTCAGTGTGGTAACATTTTGCACTTCATGATATCTTCATACAAGAGTAGAAGATTTTAGTGTACAATCCATCTTTAAAGACTTTGCATATCTCAGTAGTCTCTGAGGACCTAACACATTTATACTGAAGTGAATCTATGACTCTGAAGAATTTGGTAATATCTATAGCTGAGACACTTAAACATTCATTTACACAAGTCTCAACAGTATATTCAAGCGCTATGATATGATGTCCCACTTTATTTTGTCTGCACTTGCAAATACAATAATCCCTCTTTATTTTGTTTTGACTCTTAATCCCAATTCTCTTCAATTACATGAAATTACTCATCCAGATGTAAAGCTTTATGGGTATATATTAGTGCCTTTTCTGTAGCTGTGATAAAACACAGTGTATAAGGGAACTCATAAAAGATTTTAATTTGGCTTATGGTTTCAGAGGGGTATTGGATAACCACAAAAGTGGCAACACGAGTGTCAAAAATTCCCTTCAAATGTTGTGGTCTAGCCTGGATTGGATGTCAGTCATTAGTCAAGGCTACATTTTAACCCTTGATTTTCAAGTGTCAACCTCCTGAGTATAAGTTAATGCATAGATAATATACCTCAATGTGTCCTACTTTGTCAACAGATTTTAACAACGCTAATGTTAAAATGTTTAATAGAGAGAATATAACAAACATTACATACTTCATATGTGTCCAAAACGGCATTGTCATGTGCCTGGAAGAGATGTAACAAGATAGGATATTCAGCAATCAACAGTGCATCCCACAGGATAGCTTGATTGTCATGGCCCCATTAGTTACCATTTGGCACTTCATCTTGAAGTATGCCATCAAAGGGGATTATGTAGAGATGTTAATGTAACAGCACTGAGATTTATTTAGAATAAAGCATTTCTATTAATGAAAAAAAGAAATTAGAGAAATCTCATACTTTACAGCACACCAAAAAGCTCTATAACAAAAAGAAGCAAATACACTCAAGAGAAGTAGGTGGCAGGAAATAATAAAATGGATGGTTGAAATCAATAAAATCAAAACAAAGAGAACAATACAAAGAATCAATGAAACAAAGAGTTGGTTCTTTGAGAAAACCAACAAGATAGACAAATCTTTATTCAATCGAAAATATCCAAACAAATAAAATTTAAAAAAAGGTAAGGATATAGCAACAGACACTTAGGTACTCCAAAGAAACATTAGGTCATACATTAAAAACCTATATTCTACAAAATTAGAAAATCTAAAGGAAGTAGATACTTTTCTTGGTAGATACCACTTACCAAAGTTAAATCAAGATCAGATAAGAAATTAGATAGACTACTAGCCCCAAAAGAAACAGAAGCAATCATTAAAAGTCTCCCAACCAAAATGTAAAAAACAAAACAACAAAAACTCAGAGCCCAACTGTTTTAGAACAGAATTCTACCAGACTTTCAAAGAAGAGTTTATGCCAATACATCTCAAATTATTTTACAAAATATAAATAGAAGGGACATTGCCAAATTCATTTTATGAGGCCACAGTCACCCTGACACCAAAATCACATATTCAACAAAGAAATAGAATTATAGACCAATATTCTTCATCAACATAGGTGCAAAAATACTCAATAAAATACTCTCAACCTAAATTTAAGAATACATCAGAAAGATTATCTACCAGGATCAAGTGAGCTTCATCCTAGAGATGCAGAAATGTTTAAGCACATGAAAATCAATCAATGTAATCCACCATATAAAACAAAATATAAGACAAAAACCACATAGTCATCTCATTAGATGCTGAAAAAGTCTTTGACAAAATCTGATGATGCTACATGATAAAAAGTCATGGAGATATTAGGAATAAAATGGACATACTTAAACATAATTGTGACAATTTGAAGCAAGCCTATAGACAAATTCAAATTCATCAAATTAAATGGAGAGAAATTCAAAGCAATTTCACTAAAATCAGGAGCAATACAAGGCTATCCACTCTCTATATATCTATTTAATATAGTACTTAAAGTTCTAAATAGAACAATGAGACAACTGAAGAAGATCAAAGGGATACAAATGGAAAGAAAGAAGTCAAAGTATCATTGTTTGTAGATGCTATGATAGTATATGCAAGCAGTCCCAAAAATTCTAACAGAAAACTCCTAAATCTGATAAACACCTTTAGGAGAGTGGCTGGATAAAGACTAACAAAAAATTCAGTGGCCCTCCAGAGCTGCAAAAAATATAAAATATCTTGGTGTAACTCTAACAAAGCAAAAAGACTTCTATAACAAGACCTTCAAGTCTTTGAAAAACAAAATTGAAGAAAATATCAGAATATAGGAAGATTTCCCATGCTCATGGACCAGTCAGATTAACATAGTAAAAGTGCCCATCTTATAGCAATCTACAGATTCAATGCAATCCTCATCAAAATTCCACACAATTCTTTACAGACTTTGAAAGGCAATACTCAGCTTCATGTGGAAAAATCCATAACTGGATCTCAGCCTATAGAAAAACACAAGTGGATCCATATCTATCACCCTGCACAAAACTCAAGTCAAATTGGATTCAAAGACCTCAATATAAGCCAGATAAACTGAACTTCATAAAACCCAGGTAAACTTTAAAAAATCCTATACAATAAAAAGAAATTCCAGAGGCATCACCATCAATGATTTCAAGCTCTACTACAGAGCTATAGTAATAAAAAGTGCATGGTATTAACATGAAAACAGACAGGTTGATGAACGTAATATAATCCAAGACACAGATGTCAACCCATACACCTATGAACATGTAATTTTACTATAAAGAAGCTATAAATACATAATGGAAAAGTAAAAGCATCTTTAAATAATGGTGCTGATCTAACTGGATCTTAGTATGTAGAAAAATGCATAAAACTCAAGTCAAATTGGATCAAAGACTTCAATATAAACTAGATAAACTGAACTTAATAAAAAAGAAAGTAAGGGATAGCCTTGAATACATTGGCTCAGGAAACAACTCCTGAACACATTGATAGGACAGTCAATAGGATCAACAATCAATAAATGATACCTCATAAATATGAAAAGCAAGGCAAAGGACACTGTCAGTGGGACAAAATGGGAGCCTACAAAATGGGAAGAGTTCTTGATCAACTCCACATCTGACAGAGAGCAAATATCCAAACTACACAAAGAATTCAAGAAACTAAACATCAACAAACCAAATCTAATTTTTAAAATGAAGTACAGAGAATTTTTAACAGAAGAATCTCAAATGACTGAGAAATACTTAAATGTTCAACATCCTTAACTGTCAGGGAAATGTAAATCAAAACTACTTGAGATTCCATCTTATACCTGTCAGAATGTCTAAAATCAAAAACACAAGAAACAGCTCATGCTGGTGAGGATGTGGAGCAAGGGGAAAGTTCTCCA